ATTTTGATTTTCAAATTTTAAATTCATAATATCAGCCTTCAGCATCGAGTTGTTTAAACAATTCTGTGCGTACCAGATTTTGAACTTGTTCTCGGACAATTCATCATACCAGTTTTTAACTGGTATTCTACAGCAGTCTTTAGAATTTCTCGAGCTTCTACATCCAAGTCGTCTGGGGATACTCCTAATTTATCTAGGTACTCTAGATTTCTTTTGTCTGTGAAATTAATTAAACATGAACAGTGGAAACATAGAGGGATAAGGTATTGTAGAATATACATACTTAATATTTTGTATTCTTTTGTAGCACGTTTTAGTAAATCGTCTATGTTTCAATCGCATTGTCCCCCATTGTTAGAATTAATTTTTATAACAACGTTTATATTATTCTAAAGGATATATAGCTAAATATGTACAAATGGATATTTTATACCTTAGCATATTTTTATGTATAAATAAATACAATTTTCATCACAAATCAATAAATATGAATATTTTTACTAGGACAACGACATTTAAGTTTTGTATTGAAATTTGACAGTTCTATACAGACATGTTGTGCAACATGGCCGTCTAAACAGTTGTCAAAACTACTTTTATTTAATTAATTATTTATAAATAAAGCACGCACAAGCAATTGTGTCTTTATTATATTTTACAATTGTGTAAAGAATTAATTGAGGTAAATATATTTATATTTAAAGCATTTTTGCACATTATCCATGTTTATTTTTATTTGTTTCTGTTATATTGGTCATATGTAATTATGTCCATTGCTTAGCAACTTCACTCTTCAGTATGTTTTCATTGCGTGACTTTTGTGCAATTCGTTTTGTATTTTTTGTGTAAAATAGTTTTTAGAAGAGAAATTATCGACTTATACACATTTCGAGAATCATTACATACGTACAATATCAATGTGATAAAATAAATGATTGTTCTAACGATGCATCAAATAATATTGTGCGAAAAAATATCTGGCTGACGTCACAAATAACTCTTAGTGTGTACGACTCATTGTCATAATGCAATCGACATTTAATAAAATAGAATTGAAATATTAATTAAGTGTGATATCCAAAGCAATCTTTATTTTAAGTCTAAGTTACATCACCTAATTTGTCTCGTTGCTAATTAACTTCTTCAGTGTGTCAGTGTGCCCCCTTTGCCTAGCTTTCACTATCCACAAACTAATCTAACTTTACTAAAAAATAAACCATTCATCTGATGTTATTTTATTTTTGAAGACTGTTTTGTTTTAAAATTTTTGTGTTTATATATCCCGTCAAATATATTTTTGAAGTTCCAACTAATCATAAAAAAATCTTAAAAAACCAAAAAAAAACTGAAAAAGATAATGGATTCCGAGGAAGAGGGTATTTACGACGATGTGGATTCTGGGAATGAATCTAGTGGAGATGATGATTTTGCTATGGAAGTCGAATCAAATCATAACAGGGAAAGGCAAAATGATGCTGAGGATTACCCCTTCGAGGTGCTGTCTACGGAACAAATTGTGCAACACATGGTGGACTGTATTCGGGAAGTCAATCTAGTTGTCGAGGTAAGTGACAGAGGGTACAGAAGCTACATATTAGTATTTATTTATTTATTTATTATCACAAACAGTATCACAAACATTTGTAAATATATCTTGACAGTTTATATTTGTTAGCAACAAAGCTAATACATCTATTTTATACTATAACAATTGTTATAGTTCTCTTTAAGGCTTAAGTCACTTATCTGTGTATGACTCTCCATTGCCGTTTCATACAACAGTGTCCAAAAAGGCTGTTATGAATAAACACCACAAAATATGCTTATAAACATTATCTTTTTTGTCACATAATCAATGGTTTGTATTTGTAAACAAGAATGGTAATAGTTTTTTTTTTTCAGAAACACCAAAATTGTCACAAAATAATTCTCTTTTTACGGACAAGATATTTTTTTAGGTTAAACATGAATGATTTTTATTTGTTAACAATAAAGGTTAGGTAACAAGAAAGGTAACATAATGATAATATTATAACAAGGCTCATGTTATTTTTCTGTGAGAGATTTATCATTACCGCAGTGCCCAAAAGAACTGTTATGGATTAGAAACACCAAAATTGCCACAAAAATATTCTTTTTTACTTTATTAGTTCTGATAAGAACAATGTGTGTTCATTTTTCAAGTAAGCGAAAGACATACATAAGCCGTTTCATAAAACAGTGTCTAAAAAGGCTGTTATGAATAAAAACAACAAAATATGCTTATAAACATTATCTTTTTTGTCACATAATCATTGGTTTGTATTTGTAAACAAGAATGGTGATAGTTTTTTTCTAGAAACACCAAAATTGTCACAAAATAATTCTCTTTTTGAGGACAAGATATTTTCTTTGAGTTGAACATCAATGATTATTATTTCCTAACAATAAAGGTTAGGTAACAAGAAAGGTAGTCGTATTTTATTTATATTTATCCAAGAGATCAGTACATAATGATAACACGGCTCATGTTTTTTCTTTGTGAGAGATTTTCAATCCCCCCTATTTTACACCGCAGTGCCCAAAAGAACTGTTATGGATTAGAAACACCAAAATTGCCACAAAAATATTATTTTTTTTTACTTTATTAGGTCTAATAAGAATAATGAGCGTTCATTTTTAAGTAAGCGAAAGACATACAATGATTATTTATTTAAAATAACAAAAAAACAGTCTTTAACAATCTCTAACAATTTAATAAATATTATAAACAAGCTTGATAAGAACCTTAATTAATTCTTATTATTATAAATAAATACCTAAATTATTCAGCATCTACCAGATTAGTTTCTCTAATTATTTTAACATCTTATTTAATTTAGAATGCAATAATAATTAAAATCATGAGAGTTGAAACTTATTCGTGAGCAAAGTATAATATGATTAATATTTAGTATCTCGAAAGACAGAATGTAATAGAAACAATATTATCATTTAATACTATTTATTTTGATATTCTGCAGCTCAACTTATTATTTAACTTTCAAAATTATATTTATTTTTGATAATACATGTCTTGGTAATTAACCATTTATTTATTACATTAAACTTAAAAAAAATAACACAATAATTTATTTTAAAATGTTTTAATCATAAACACAATGTTGTAATAAAAATAGTTTTATTTTTTGAGAAAGCGAAAAGCATATAATGATTATTTATAAAGGTTTACAATAATTTTAAAAATTATTGAAAGGATGTATTTGTTATACAGATTTGTTATACACATTCTTATTTAAAATTTCTTCCGAATAACAGTTTAATTTTAATTGTAACAAATATATTTTAACTAACTGTTTAATTCAGTATTAATTTATTTACTTATTCATTTATTCAACTCCCAAGGCAATAATACAGTATAATTACATTTTAAAGTGTACAAATTATTAACTATTTCTTTAAGTTAATAATTTAATTTAGTAATAGTTTCTTTTAACTTTAATTTGATTTAGTTATTACTACTTCGTCAATGAATTAGTATCAATTCTTATATTTTTCTTTCTCAAAGAGCTTTTTTTTTTCTAAATTTGGTAAAATCAAAGGTTATATATATATATATATATATATATATATATATATATATATATTCCTTTTATTTTTTCTAAATTTGCTGCAAAATTTAGAAGTAAACATTGCACAATTGTGTACACAATATATATATTTAACTGTTACGAGTTTCAATTATTTGTATATTTAGCACGAACAGATGAATTAAGATTTTTTCTCATTATATATATATATATATATATATATATATATAAATATATATAAATTACAATTTTGCTTTCTTATTACAGTACAATATTTTTAAATATATTAAAAATAGATTGATTACATTTAAATCACAAATTGCATACAAGTAATATTTTGTTATAATAGATAGATAGATGGATACTTTTATTCAAATTGATTATTTACAATTCAAGATAATACTATTATTATTTTTATCACAATATTAATCTTAATTGGTAACAATTTAAATTGTAAATATAGAATTCGAATGAAGTATCTATAACATGTAACTTTATAAAATTAAGATTTCATATCATCATTTAAATAAAAACCTATTATCAGGTTTTTATCAATTGCTGAAAAAAAATAAAAATAATTCAAATATATTCAAATATTTTATAACTACATAAATTAATTTATGTTTTGTTAAAGTTTTGCTCATATAAAAATTTTAATTAATTTTTGCTATTTTTGATTACACAAAGCAAACTAATATGAGATATATTAATACATATATCTTATTCTATTTACAAATATTCCATTCATTGTCTTATTTGTTTAAACAAATATCAATTTCTTCAATGGCATTATGTTCTACAATGCATTATCTGTATTTACTATTATTTATTATTTATTGATTGCGATTCATCAATGAAAGAATATTTATTTTGTTTATTTATTCATTAAATCAAGAACATATGTTTAATGTTATGATTCAACAAACATTATCTTGACTTTCAACTTTGAGTCCTTGACTAATTCAATGTCAGCTCTCTTATCTGATAAGATAACAACAAATATCAATATAATAATAAATAGTAGTAATATATTTTTTAATTAATCTTTTTATTCTTTTCTTTAGATCCCTGCCACAACAATAAGGATACTCCTAAATCATTTCAAATGGGACAAGGAGAAACTGATGGAAAGACTTTACGATGGTGACCAAGATCAACTGTTTAACGATGCACATGTTATAAATCCCTATAGGTCACCACCACTAATTAGCAAAACGAAGGTAAAATAATAAATAACAACTAGTGCATTATTTACTGATAATAAGAATGGTTTTATTGAAGTTTGTTTTGTGTTTTTTTAGCCAAGAAAAACGACAGCATCAGGGACTGAAGAATGCGAGATCTGTTTCACTGTTTTACCTTCATCGGTGAGTAGAAAAGATATATGAGAATACTAAAATCTGTACAAGAGGGTAATTGAAAATATTATATTATATATATATATATATATATATATATATATATTAATAAATTAATACATTGTACAAATTTATATATATTTCACACAAGCTGTTGTGTTGAGGATCTAAAAAAAGAGACTCGATGGTATAAAAATGTGTAAAGACACTTTAGAATGATTTAAAGTATGATTAATACTTATAATAATATAGTCATGATGATAGTATTCTTTACTTCATATCGGTTTTGTATAATTTGTACAAATTCCAAATATTCATGTATTTTTACACTTATTCTTGAAGAAAATCTTTTCAATTATTTTTATACATCTGTGTAACTAACAACTAATTATTTTTATACCCTGAGTATTACATAAATGTTCCATTCTAATTTCTTTGTAGTAAATTGATATTTTCAATCACAGTCTCATCGAAGAATGATTATTACATCTTTCAATACATTAAGACCTACATATTTTATTCAATGTCAATTCCTGTATTGTAAATATTTTTAACTCTCAATATAATTTCAATACAATCATAGAAATTGATGTTTTCAAATAGAGTTCAGTCGTAGAATAAATATATCTTCAATTATGATATTTTTGGTTGAAAAAATATAAATAGCAAGATCAGTTTAATGCCACAATATGATAATATATAATTTATGAATAATTTATGATGAAGCCAAGAATTGAGAAGTAAATATAAATGCCAAATTTGATTATAGATGTAGATATATTAAGAAATCGCACGAACGCACCCAAATAAAAACACACAGAAGTAAATACATACACGGTGTACGTCCTAAGTGACTAAAATTTTTTATTTAATTAAATTTATAATTGGTCTCTCAATTTGTATAAAGATTTCAGTTCTATTAAACTATCTTTATTTGTTGCAGTAAATGATAATTTTTATTTATTTTCCGTTTCGTTCGCTTTTTTTTTGAAGTTATAGGTGTTTGTATACTTAAATAGAAAATGCAATAAAAAAATGTGATAGATGTTGATAATTTGAATAATTTGCATTTGGTAAAAGTCCAAAATTGTTTCTCTCACGTGCCAAATCCGAAATAACTATAAAAAACAATGTATACAGTGCGGTGAACCGTGTCTGTATTTATTTTGGGACTTTAAAATGACTAAGGGGTTTTCCATTATTTATTTGGAAAATTGTTCAAGACGAAACTGTGTCACAAGTCTAGATATAAATCTAAACAAGCTGATTTTTTTATGTCTTCTAGAATGTTTATTAATATTTTTTTTTAATTTTAATCATAAACACTAAAGTAACAACATTGGCAATAGCATTTGCCTATGAAGTTTTTTTATGTGTTTTTACGAGAAAACTTATTGATTTTATTATTTGTTGTTATGAAAGACATACCAAAGTATAACATACTAAAGTAAGAACATTCTACAACAAACGAAAGTATTTTCAAAAAATTATAAATATCCTACTTCAATTTATGACAGTTTTTGTATACATTTTCTCATATAAATGTAAATATCTCAAAAATGTCTAAAAAAGCACATTGATTTTATTCTTCTCATTTAAACTTCACATTCAATTACGAATTATTCAAAATTCCAATATCGAAGTGTAGATAACAGTTTTTACTGGATTTTAATACATTTTATCTAGTTTTTATTAATGTAAAATATATAAAGCTATATAAAGGAAATGATTAGAATGCCCAATATTTCAATATTTGTTGTTTAGGTATACTAAAAATACAACGTGTACCATTTTCATCTAATGACCAGCAAAAATCAACTGTATTATCTATTTGTTACAAATAATTCTTTCGAAAGTTTTAAAATTTTAAGATAAGTTATTTTGAAGTAAAATGCAAAATTAATAAGTATAGTAAGTAAGAAAATCCAAAACGAATAAGTAAAAAATTGCATATAAAATTGATGTTTAGTTGAATTTTAAAATTGATATGAAAGCTGTCCTCTTATTCTTAATCAACTATTCTTCAATGTTCCAAGGCTATCTACGCGTTCACAATTATTTTTCAATTATCCTACTCCTAAATCTAATTCTCTCTTAAATTCGCCTATTTTACTTATGTCCTCTAACTTTAACTTAATTAATAATAAAATAGATATTCACAACACTTCACCTAATCCAAAAAATCACCATTTGCACAAATTAACCTTTTTATTTTCTTTTCAAATATCTCATTATTTTATCTTATTCTCTAAATAAATAATATTGTTACATTCTGTTTCATATGTAATTTTATGTTAAGCATTTTATGTTAATACCTATATATTGTAATTTTGTATATATTTCAATTGTTATTCATTATGTAAAATAATTGTATTTTTTGAGTTCTTTTGGAAGAAATCTGTGGGCTATATATTTAAAAATAAGTAAATAAATAAATATGAATAAAATTCATTACAAGAGCCTAAATTAAAATATTTCGAATAATTAAATTCATCATACTTATTGTCTTTTTCCAGATGATGACCGGCCTGGAGTGCGGCCACCGGTTCTGCACGCAATGCTGGGCCGAATACCTGACGACGAAGATAATGGAGGAGGGGCTGGGGCAGACGATCGCCTGCGCCGCCCACGCCTGCGACATCCTGGTCGACGACGCCACTGTCATGCGCCTCGTGAGGGAGCCGAGGGTCAAGCTGAAGTACCAGCACCTCATCACCAACAGCTTTGTAGAGGTAATAGGAAATAGATAGGACGAATATAATGGTAATAAGCTAATATAATAATGGTTGTGTCTTTTTTAGTGTAATCGTTTGTTGAGGTGGTGCCCTTCGCCTGATTGCAGCAACGCGATTAAAGTGCAGTACGTCGAAGCCAGGCCGGTTACCTGCAGGTGCAGGCACGTTTTCTGTTTCGCCTGCGCAGAAAATTGGCACGACCCCGTCAAGTGAGTTAATTGTAGATGCATCGACACATAATAATTAACAGAGAAGCTTAGGTTTTTTTTTGCCTCATCTTCTTATATATAAAAATGAATCGCAAAATGTGTTGGCAAGCGCATAACTCAACAACGCCTGGACCAATTTGGCCAATTGTTTTTTTAAAATGTTCGTTCAAGTCCAAGAATGTTTCTTACGGCGAGAAAAAATCCAATAATTGCCGGGAAAACCCTAAAAACAGCCCTTTTTTTCACATACAAACGTTTTCTAACTAAAATGTAGAATCAATTTGAGCTTTATTGCTATTATATAAAGTTCATATTAAATTACAAGCACTCACTGTATACTCCTCCTAAACGATTATTCGGATTTTGATAAATCTTTCTGAAGTTTGTTAAGGAAATTTTCTAGTATGTATGTGATTAGAAAGTACTGGGATGTATGTGCAATGTTGTAGAAATAAATGGAAAAAAATGCAAAAAACGACGTGCCATTGTTTGCATTGAAAATAAATGAAAATTATCATCTGCCAAAAATTTCAATTTACTTATGAACCTAGACAATATTAGAATATGCATAATAAATTTATGATTATGAATAAGAAAAATGAAATGTCTACATTATTATTGCCGAAAAGCAGCTGAGATGTGCCAGAAATTACAATAATATAAAATACAGTATATGTATGGCAGATTGAATGATACACATATGAACAAATATGACAAATTAATTCACTTAAAATATGAAATTAAGTATTAATCAGGGCCGGTCCTACCTTTAATGCCTCGCATGCGAAAAATACGAGCGCACGTGATAGGGGGCGCCAATACAAGATTCGGATATTAAATTTTCAATATAGTTTTTATTTCAATATATAATTTCTTTGCATCTTTACTAATCTTTCCACAATATTTTTAAAATTCGTAAAATTTTCACTTTATAACAACAAATGGGAAAGTAAAGATGAATACATACAATTCGGCCCTTACGATATCGATTAGAAGTTTAAGATGCAATTTTGGATATCTTAAATACAATAAAACTACAATAATTTGTTTATATAGAATTTTAGTTAATTTTATCTAGTTTCTACTTATCTAATTCAAAAAGAGTTCTTGGGGAAAAAATTTGGAACAATTTAACAAAACGTAGAAAAGTGTCCTGACAGAATCCACATATGTTTAGTAAATTTGCAAAAAATAATAGGTCATGTTCACACTAGTTTTGCTCAAGATTTTTATATAGGACTATTCTAAGCAATTGATACAAAATTGTTGTAATTTTTATCTAGTTTCTACTAAGATAAATATAAAATAGTGTTTTAGGGAAAATTTTCGAGTTTTTCAAGAAAATGTAGATAAATTTCCCGACAGAATCCATATGTATAGTAAATTTACAAAATATATTTCATTGAAATTTGGAATATGGCCTAAGCTCTTAGTACATACTTAGACTATCTCAGTTCATGTTCGTTTTTTATAATTTATTATATTTAAACTATTTAAAAATAATATATAATATAATGCTTATATTATATATTATGGTATGCTTATAAAGCATCATTAAGTACTTTATGCCACTTACTTTATTATTTTATCCTTTCCCCAGGTGTCATCTATTAAGAAAGTGGATTAAAAAATGTGACGACGACTCGGAGACCTCGAATTGGATCGCAGCCAACACTAAAGAGTGCCCCCAGTGCAATGTCACAATTGAAAAGGACGGAGGATGTAATCACATGGTCTGCAAGAATCAATCATGTAAACACGATTTCTGTTGGGTGTGTCTGGGCTCATGGGAACCACACGGTAGCAGCTGGTACACCTGCAATAGGTAAATAATAATAATAATAATATATTTATTATAAAAGTTAATAGTTATGGAATATATTTATCTGTGTCTTTTACAGGTATAATGAAGAGGAGGCCCGAGCAGCCCGAGATGCCCAGGACAAGTCTAGATCATCGTTGCAACGATACTTACATTATTACAACCGTTACATGAATCACATGCAGTCTTTAAAGTTCGATCACAAACTCTATTCTTCTGTAAAAGCCAAGATGGAAGAGATGCAACATCACAACATGAGCTGGATCGAGGTAGAGGCATGTCCATTGAGGAAAAGTTTACTAACAATATTATAATATTAGATAAGAATTTATTGTGCATGTGCTTTGCTTTTTTTTTAATCTTAACTGCATGTTGAGTTTTATCACAATTATAATTAGTTAGTGCTATTTTACAATTAGATTTTACTTTAGTTGCTCGATTTAATGCAAATTTAAGACATCAGCAGGTATTACTTAAAAATGTAATTTTATAGTATTATGTATAAATAATTTTTTTTTAAATAGGTAAAACAATATAAAACTGGTTGAATGTAGCATTTTGCCTTTAAGCAAGTTGCATGAACTTTTGGATGTGTCGATATTCAAAGATTTATAAGATTTTGCTATATAATAACATTTTTAACTGTTTATTTCTTTAAATAACTTTATTCTATACAAGTGTATTGTACTAGATTCCTTATTTGAAGAAAAATATAAAATATGCTACTAATATCCTCATTAACTTCCCGTAGGGTAAGTTATTGTAATGGGCCGAAAATCGGAATTGAAAATTTTTACATTTCTCGACGTTTTGAAGGTTTCTGAACATTTTGGCATACTTCAGAAAAAACGAATGTGTGTGTGTGTGTGTGTATGTGTGTCTGTGTGTATGTATGTATGGATACAAATTTTCGCCCACGTTTTCGGGCGTACGGATCAACCGATTTGAATAGTTTAAAAAACATTCGATTCCTATTAATAAGGAGAAGAGCTGATTAGTTTTTGGCAAAGACAGGTCCAGCAGTTACGGAGATAAGGAGCAAAGAGTGCAGAAAATAGAAATCGAGTTTTTGAGAGAACGGAGCATCCGATTTGAATGATCTAAAAAACATTCAATTAGTAATGATTGGGAGAAGGGGTTGTTAGTTTTTCGCAAAGGCAGGCCCAGCCATTTCGGAGATACAGAGCTAAATGTACAAAAAATGGCAGTTTTTGAGAGAACTAAGCGTCCGATTCAATTGATTCAAAGAACTTTCTGCTTGTCTTAACAAAATAATTGATTTTGGAAAAAAAAATTGTACCATTTTTTTTTCTTTTCTTTTTTTTTTTCTTTTTAATTTTTTGTATATCGAAAATAATTCAGATTTTATTTTTAATTCTGACTATAGTTCTAATATACTTTAAACAAATAATTTCAACTCTGCAATTCAGTTTATATAATTCTTATAAATATTAGACAATGTTACAATATTTATAATAATCTATTTGAAAACATTCAATATTCCTCAAACATTTCGTTATGGTACGGGAAATTCCAGCAATTTGCCTTAAGGCACGATGCCACCCACCCCACTAGTTTCAACTATGAATTATTCAAAATTTTAATATCCGAGTGCGAATAACGATTTTTATGAGGTTTTAGTAAATTTTATCTAGTTTTTATTAATGTAAACAAATTATAATGTGCGAAATGAAAATTAAAAGTTATTTGAAGAAAAGTAAGAAAATTTCCCAAATTCATATAAAGCAACTTATCAAAATACTAAAGTCCGCATTTCAACTAGGATTTATTTAAAATTTTATTACTTAAGTGTGTATAATTGTTTTTACTGTATTTTAGTTCATTTTATCTAGTTTTCACTAATGTATACAAATTAAAACGTTCGGAATGAAAATTTTGAGTAGTTTGAAGAAATGTACGCTTCGCTTTTAGTGTGTTAAGTATTATATTTTAATTTGTAATTCTTATATTTCAGGTTCAATTTCTTCAAAAGGCAGTCGACATCCTCTGCCAGTGTCGTCAAACCCTAATGTGCACCTACGTCTTTGCATATTACTTGCGTAGAAATAACCAATCAGTCATCTTCGAGGCCAACCAGAGCGATCTGGAGAGCTCCACCGAGACTCTCTCAGAATATCTGGAACGGGACATCACATCAGAAAACTTGGCCGACATCAAACAAAAAGTTCAGGATAAATACAGGTAAGTTGATTTAGGATAGAATTTAATGTTGTATCAAAGTTACATGTTATCTGTTGTATCAGGTATTGCGATAGTCGTAGAAAAGTACTTCTAGAACATGTTCACGAAGGATATGATCAAGACTGGTGGGAGTACTCTGAATAATAGATTGAATTAAGTAAAAAAAAAATGCTGTCGAGATATTTAATCCTTAACCTGTGGATACCAAGCAACAAGTCTCAGTTTAAAGCAAGATAAAGATCAAATCTTTATGACTCCATTGCCAACAGAAATATAAACCTAATTTTAATTAATTGTGTGACTATTAAAATTGTTGGACAATTTGGCACAAACGATGTGTATATCTCAAGTACGGTGTTTATTTGTCTGAATGAAAGACAAAACTTAATAGTTGATAAAGATTTAAGAATTATGAAGTGATTTAATAATTGAAAGCCTCCCCCGTTGGTGCTTTGTCAACATATAAATGTAATCTCTGACCTTTATGATGGATTGATAGATTGATTGATTGATTCTATTTATTAGGATGGACTTCGACTTCAACAATAGCTAGTGTAAAAAAATAAATTGAGATGATTTAGTTTTAACAGTCAAATTAATATCAAAATTGTTTCGCTTAATGAAATTTATCTGCATATATATGTATATATGTATGGATTTAATTCTTTTGAGAACATGACATTGGACATATTGTTTATATATGCGTAAAAGAACAAACAACTAAATATATATAAAATTATTTATCCAATGTCCGAACAATAAATATATATTATGTATGTATGAAAAGGACAGATTTATAAATATATAGCATATATTATATTAGATACTCTCGACATTGTATGTATTGAATGGTATAAACCCTTGTAAATAAATTAAATTAGTGATATTTAAAATAAAATAAAAACAGGAAAACTATAATGTGTGTGTTATGTATCGAATGAAACATTTCATATGGGAATGGATGTATGATATTTTGAGTATTATACCTTATATAATATTGTCAGATTAATAAGTCGTTGGCAAATCATTACGAAATACTATTTAGAATAGAAAATTTGTTTAATTAAATTTTAAAATTAACGTAAACTTTAATTGCCATTACGACAAACTGTCAAGAAAGATGGCCGCCATCGTGAAGAGCGCGGAATTTAAACCGAAAATCTGAAAACATGATAAAAATTAAAAACATTTGTCGATATTTATTAAAATTACACAGACTTTTTAAAATATTTAAATATGTGTTAAACTTATTGTAAATAATTGTGTAATAACTATTTAAAATTTTTATAAACATTATTTTCTAAGATTTCTCCCCCTGCTACATGTATCACGTAAAGTTAGTCATTTAGACAAACGTCAATGACAGTTCTTGTCTAATTTGTTATAATGTATTTTAAGTTTTGCACCCTAAAATTAATAGGGTAAATTAAATAATTAGTGCAAAATACCAAGCATTTATTAAGTGAAATGGATATAGTGTTATATTTGACAAACATTCAGTTAATTACTAAAAAAATTGGAGCAAATGCTAATGGCGGTTACAGAATGGGAAATTCCGGCTGTGATTTGAAGGTAAGAATTTATTTGATTTAAGATACAGAAAAAATGTACAATTACTCTTGAATATATAATCATGATATTTTAGAATAAAGGATTCCAAATTAATTCTGCATGTCACAGTGATAAAAGTCATAATAAATCCTTAAAGCCTTTTACATAACCCCTTTGTGCACCATCTTTATTTACTTTTGTCAAAAAGGTTTATTACGTAGATATTTAACTATTATGCTATTGTTATATTATTTTAAAGTGTTAAGATATGATAAATAATTCTAAGGTGAACCTTATTAGTCCTTCCTATTGGAGGCTTATTAATCTTCTTGTTAGATTCCTATTTGAATTCATTATTAAGGTTTTTATATATTTTTTCATGATAACGATCTAACAAAATGACCTTCGTCTTCATTTATATAAAGTTGTTTCAATAGATTTTTGGAACAAAGTAAACATTAAAAATCAAGGTAAATATTCCACCTTCCACCATATCCATTTCAACTCAGTTTACAAGAACAAAAAACTATATATTGTTACTTTATCTTTATTAATTTGATGATATTTACTGCTTTTTGTTCAAACTGTTTATCTGTTTATGGTACGATCAATCTCAAGTAATAAATTATAAAAGGAATCATATTACCGATGCCCCAAAGGCTGAAATTAAAACATCTATGAAAAAATTAAGTTCCATGAAATATATTGAAATAATCAAAAGGCACTAATCCATAATATAATCATGGATGTAAATGTTTTTTTGGTTATAAACTTTCCAAAGAAGTAAATGTTTTTGCTAGATTCCGAATTTGTTTTGTTTTTTGGGCGTTCAAGTTGTTCTGAATCGTTTGACAACAAAATTGGTAAAAGTTTGTGTGAGCTAAAAAAAAATTCAATAGTAAACGCGGAAGAATGATAGAGTTTAATTATTAACAATGAATTAATAAAGTTTAATTATTAACAATATTTTTTTTTCATTCACTGCGTCAGAAAATCTAATTTGCATTTTGAATCGAATGGGACCAAATTTTAAAAAGTAAGTGTGTGTGTGTATGCATAAGTGCCTATTGTCGACCTTTTTTATAGAGGCCTAAAATATTAGAGTCCTGCGAAATAGGTTTAATTATAAAAATCATGAAAGTTTGAAAATTTATCAAAATTTTAATCTTCAATAAACTGAGTTATCGTTTTTGGCACTTTTGTCCCGTATCTCCGAAACATCTGGACCTGCCTTTGCCAAAAACTAATCAGCACATCTCCCTATCAATAGAATCGAATGTTTTTTAAACCATTCAAATCGGTTGATCCGTGCGCCTGAAATCGTCGACGAAAATTTGTATCCGCACACACACAAACATCAATTTTTTCTAAGATAAGCCAAAATGTTCAGAAATCCCCGAAACGTAAAGATATTTGAAAATTTTCATTTTCGATTTTTTTGGTATTACTATAACTTGCCCTACGGGAAGTTAAAAAATGTCCAATAATTTTACTAAAAATACCCTTAGTATGTGGGTGAGGGGGGGTAATTTTACGTATCACCAAGGGATTTAAAAATCCTTAAAAATCGATGACGTGATTAATGGACATTCTTTAAGGGTTAAACGTACAATAATTATAATAATAAGTAGTATAAGTATAATCTTGACAAGAGCCTAAAATAATACCTATTATTATTGATTACGGCTTGCTTATGAATAAATAAATGAATAAATAAAATATAGTCTGCCCGGAGACAGGTCCATGGTATGAGAGCACCTCAAAATCAATGATTTTTGTCCCCTCCCTTGTTTATTATTCCCATTGTCGTTTTATTACTATATTCGTTTTCATGAATTTTCCTTTCCAAACTTTTGCTTTCATGCTTCCTGGTCCTTTGCATCAATCATCTGCGTTCTTCTTCTTCCCAATGCTTTTTTTATTCCTTTTATTTTGCCTTCGACGACGTCGTGTAGGAGGCATTGTCCTTGCAGAATGGTTCTGATCCAGTTTCCTTTTCTTTTCAGGATCGACCTCAGTAGAATCCTTTTTTTGCCCACTCTTCTCAGGACTTTCTTCATTTTTTACTTTTTCGATCCACTTTATTTTCTTCATTCGCCTCCAGTATAGTTTCACAACTCCCAAAGAGTTCTTGTCGGCCTTTCTTAGGGTATATGTCTCTAAAATTTATAATCATTTTTGCAGATATTTTGACCTGTGTCTTTTACAATCCGGTCCTGTCCGAGACCCCTATATCCCCCTGTCAACTTTCGAATATTACGAAAAGTCAATTGGCAAGTTCGCACTTTGGCATCGACAATCGCCAATCGGCATACAGCATACTGTCATTAAATAGCCACAAAAATCATCGTCACGAATCGAATTTCCATCTCGAAATCGAGACCATGACGCGCGTCACGTCCCCGGGGTCACTTTGCCATCAATCAAAATCGAAAAAATCGCCGAGATTTGGAAAAAATCGCCCGTTTATCCGACATGTGCGCCACGGGAAAGGGATAAGTGTTAGTGGCCCCATTGGGAGAGAGGGACTTTGCTGGCGGAGCCTTCGTTTGCATCGTTTTTTTGGTGTTGGTGAGCGCGAGCAAAGGTGCGTCTGCGACTCTGAACAGGTTTTTCGCAATTGTGCGTATTACAGGTAGTTTGGTTAGACGGGGGCGCGGCGGGGGGCGAAAGGAGAAAGAAGATTGTGCACTTGACATCTCTTATGTATATGAGGATTATTGGTACCAAACCTAACTAACTCTGGATTGTTAATTATTATTTTACCATTCACTTAAAATGAAAATAGGTACTATGATTAGTTTAGGTGGCATCCATTAATCACGCGAGGAAGAGGGATGACAAAAAGTCACAAAAATCATGAAGCGAAGGGAAGGCTGTAAGTAAAAAATCCGAAATTTAAAAAGAATTTTCAAAAATTTGCTATTATTCCTAGGTA